GGGAGGACCAGGTGGTCCACCAGAGCACTACCAGGAGCGCATGGGTATGGGCCCTGGCCCCAGGGGTATGCCGCCACATATGCAGAGGATGCCTGGCTTCTCTGGTATGATGAATCCTGAGATGGAGGGACCCCCAAGGCCTGGAATGGGCTGGCCTGATGACATGCCTCCCAGGATGGGGGATGCACGTGGCTTCCCTGGTGGACCTGGGGGAATGTTTGCTGGTCCAGGGGGTCGTGGTGAGCGTTTTCCAAATCCTCAGTCAGTTCAAGAAGCGATGTTTCACCAAGGTATGGGTGGAGAGAAGGGCCTCCCTCCAGGGATGATGATGGACATGCAAAGGATGATGGGGCACCAAAGAGGTGGAATGGAACCTGGTAATGGCATGGGCATGTTTCCCAGAATGCCTGGTGATGGTCCTATGAGTCCATCCTCTAGGCTCCAGGGAATGGGGGGAAGGGAAATGGGGCCTGAGTTTGGCATGGGACCCGGCCCTGGACCAGGACCTCATATGCACCCTTCAAAGCTACGAGATCCCTCCATGAATATGAGTCCTGACGAGATCATGAGAATGAGAGGAGGTGGAGGACCTCCAATGGAGAACATGGGTCCACAAGGCCGGCCCATGCAGGGTCCCCCTTTCCCTGAGCAGGCACAGCCAGGAGACTTTCCTATGGGGCCTGGGCGGCCCTTCCCAGGGGGTCCTGGAGGAATGAGGGGTCCACATGCAGACCAAGCTTTTGGTCCAGAGCACAGATCTACACCGACAGGAGGTAACGGCCGTATGAACCACCTCCCCCCTTCTGGTGGCCCTTCACAAGGTCAGAGGGGCCGCAAGCCAGCAGATCTGAATGTCCAAGCAGGAGGGGGGAACTCTCCCAGTATCAACCCACTTAAGTCCCCACCTCTGAGACAAGTGCAGTCCCCCATGATGGGTTCGCCCTCTGGAAACCTTAAATCCCCTCAGACACCGTCCCAGCTGGCTGGTATGCTCACTGGTCCTACAGGCCCCAGTGCCCCTCCACCTCCGCCAGCTTCAGCACCAATGAAGTCTCCCCACTCCATGATGGGATCAGCTGGTGCCTCTCCTGTTCATATGAGGTCTCCTTCCCTTCCAAACCCCTCTCCTGGATGGGCATCCTCACCAAAACCACCCATGCAGAGTCCTGGAGTACCACCTCAGGGTGGCAAGCCTCCGCTTAGTATCACTTCACCAAACATGATGGGGAGCATGGAGCAAGGTAAAACAGTCTCTTCTACTTTTTGTGTTCAACAGCACCTGGTTTGCTTTATTTCCCATTCCCTTTTTTTCAGTGTATTGTTATATATTATAAATCAGATCAGTGAATAGCAGGCTGTCTTTTGTAAATGGTTTGGTGTTGAATTTTATTTGCATTTTTAGTTATTGATCATTAATATCACGTTAAATATCTAACTTCACTCTCTTTTTGAAATAGGAATAGTCACAAAATTGAAAAATGCAAATAAAATAGATCTGGAGGCTATTTATCAAGTGCATGTCTCATTCAAGTTAACACATCTGTGTGAGGGGTGGGGTTGTGTGGGTGATGGTTCAGTGGCTCCCTCTTGTGGCCACAGAATTTAGATCTCATGAGCCCCAAGTACCAGACACTGTTGCTGCATAACTTCACAGATAAAAAACAATCTGCCAGAGAATTAAAAGTCTCAACTGGTAAGATTCATCATCTCTTTGTCATGTCCTCTCTTTCTCATCATGCCGTCCTCTAGGTGGTAACGGCCCTCCCTCAGCTCCTCCTTCATCAGGGGCTCCATCTGGCTCCATGTCCCTCCCAGGCAGCGTCCCGTCTGGCAGTCCGTACACCATACCCCCTGAGCCAACTCTATCCCAGAACCCTCTCTCCATCATGATGTCACGCATGTCCAAGTTTGCAATGCCCAGCTCCACCCCACTCTACCATGATGCCATAAAGACTGTTGCCAGTTCTGATGACGACTCGCCCCCTGCCCGCTCCCCTAACCTGCCATCAGTAAACAATAATGGTAAGCCATCTGAAATATCTTTTGTTTGTTGTTTAATTTTTATTTCCAATTCCACCCACCTCGGGCCATATTTATATTAATCCTCATTTGATCTGCTTCACAAGTGTGTGTACTGAATATATAATCACTCCTTTTTGTCTTGCACACACAGGTATGGCAATGAATCATCAAGGCAATCCACGTATGATGGGACCTGGAAACGCCGGACCCATGTCTGCCCTCAGCCCTCTGGGTATGAATCCAATGGGATCCCAGCCCCTCTCCCATGGTATGCCCCCACAGATGCCCTCTCCCAATGCCCCTAATATGGGCCCAGGCATGATGCCTCATGGCATGATGATACCACCAAATCCCCAAGACCCTGGTATGGGGAACCCCCAAATGATGCCCCAGGGACGCATGGGTTACCCTCACCGAAGCCAGGCATACCCCCTCACCCAGTCCCCCTCCCAGCAAGGCCCTTTCTCCCCGCACAATGGTCCTGGCCCCCAAGGTTTCCCTGGCCATCCCATGGGCTTCCAGGGAGAAGGAGGACCTATGGGAGGACGAATGGGGAACATGCCTCATGGGGGAGGGGGTGATGGGGGTATGTGCAAGCCTAATACCCCTGGAGGGCCAGAATTCAACAACATGCAAGGTGGATTCAGTGAAGCAGATCTTCATGAGGTGATGCGACCGGGAGCGTCTGGCATTCCTGAGTTTGACCTGTCCAGGATAATCCCATCGGAGAAGCCCAGCCAGACTCTGTCTTACTTCCCCCGAGGTGGGGGAGACAACCCTGGGGGGAAACCACCACACCCCTCTGGCTTCCCCATGCAGGGCATGATGGGCGACGGTCCACCGAGGATGGGGATGTCCATGCAGGGGATGGGGGGGATGCCAGGGGGGCCTGGTGGGGGAATGGGCCCCCAAGACATGCCAATGGGCAACCCTGGCCACAACTCGATGCGGCCACCAGGATTCATGGGCCAAGGCATGATGGGCCCCCAGCACCGGATGATGTCTCCTGGGGGTCCGGGAGGGATGATGCAGGGGAGACAAATGGCCCACCCAGGCCCTGGCGGCTCACCTAACATGATGATGTCACTGCAGGGCATGGGCGGCCCCCCACAGCAGACAATGATGATGGGGGGTCAGATGAGGCCACGTGACATGGACATGGGGTTCAGTCCGGGCCCTGGAATGTTCTAATCCAACAGAAACCTTGTATGTAGAATGTTCTTGGACAATACACAAGGATGGAGTAAAGGTGATGTTGTGTGGAGAGTGTTCAGAAAACTCTGATGGACTCAAGTAAAGGAAGTATAATACGAGAGAGAGGATGTACCTAGAAACGAACAGAATGGAGCTAACCAGTCACCTAGTAATGTCCTGTGGGAACTATTCCAGTGGAGACTCGGACAGGCCCAGATTGGAGTACTTTTGCCACAAGAACATTTAATTTTAACTCATGAACTTCAGAATGTATGGGATTGTTGTGCATCAATTTCGCAAAAACTGTTCTTGTGTTTTTTGATTATCTGACTATAAAGATGAATTTCAACATCAAAGAGGAATCAACCTAACTCAAAGTCAGCGTGGAGATGCTACAGTATATGTCTACTTTTTTCAAATTTAAAAAAACAAAATTTGTCATGAAATGGTATGGAACAAGAGAAAGGAATAAGAAGAATTTGTGCTTTGTGAAGACTTTAGTGGAACTCCATCTTGTCTCTCGCTCCATTGTTTTGACTGTTTCTGTACAGTATATACGTGTGGGAGTGCGTGTGTGTGCTTGACAGGCTGTATGTTTGTGTGGTATGTATGTATGTGTCTGTATGTATAGGCATTCTATCAGTGACCTCTCAACTCCTCTTACCCAACTTTCATTGGGGGAGGAACGCCCCCTAAAAATACTGTACTGTTTACCATTGGTGGGCTATTCGAATTTTAGTCTATTTTAATTTCCTTTGTAACTCCAGTGTATAACAAACCAAACTATGACCTCATTAAGATAATAGTATTATTAAAAAAGCACAAACATGGACCGTCTGCAGAAAGCGTCTTCTTTCTCTATTTTTACCATTGAGAGCAACACATTAAGTGTGAGGATCCTGGCAGCTTTGCAGCACAACGATAATCCCCAGTCCATTTCAAGTTGTCGATGACATTTTGACTTGGTGCTCCAAAACTTTCAGGACTCAACTTTCGCCAGCGTGAATAACTGCTAATACCCAGATGTGCTATGTGTGTTCTTCTTGTTCCTGTTGTGTTCCTGTTTTGTTTTGACTCTCTTGTTGACTCTGGGTAATAATCATTCCCACAGCAATAATCTCCCCCCAATGGTCAGCAGAATGGGACAGGAGTGGCTGAATGCCACAAGCAGGTATGCCAGGTATTATAGAACTAGAGCTAGGTAGATCTGGTAAAAAAATTTAGCAAGGCAGGTGTGGTGTCCGGAGCGAGACACGCAGAAATGTAAACACGTACTGCTTACCATCCAGTTGACTTCCTCTCTTTTCTCTATTGTATAAGCTTGTCATGTGTTTCTCCATTGGCTTTGGTGCAGAATAGCCTACCAGGGCTGTGGTGATGGACTACAAATAAAAGATATTGTTTTGGTATATACATGTTGTCTATGGAGTGTGTGTGTGTGTGTGTGTGTGCATGTATGGGTCCACGTGGCTCCTGACTATTCATATCTAGTCAGTCATGTGGACCAGGTGGTGTCTTTGTCATTTTACACGTCAAACCACCTTCCCAACATTGAGCTGGGACAAAGAGGGCAAGTCATACCGAGAAGCAGCATTGTCAAGTTGACATTTTATCAGCAGGTACTTAGCGACTCTGAGCTACTTTGAGAGGACACCACACTTCCAAAATAGATACAAGCATGTTGATGCACTTCCAACTCTACTAAACTAGTGCTTTACTAACCTGTGTTGAAGTTTCACTCTGCTGGTAGGAAAAGTAAAAAGCCCCAAAGAAGAAAAAGAAACTTAACAGTGATTAAAACCTTTATTTATGACTCACTAATCCAAACCTTTACACTTTAAGCAGCAGGGCACAGGAAACTCCCGCTGATGAGGTACAATGTGTGTTATTGTAACACAGTAGTATCACAGGTCTGTATAATGGGCATGTAATCACGCGTACATTATACTCGGGTTTGATGGTACCAACAAACCCCTACAAGAAGGCAATATAATGTGTCACTCTTGAGATATACCGTAGCAGAATTATTCCATTTTCCGTAGATTCAACATGGTTATGAGGACATTCACCTACACACTAATGTACATTCCCCAAATTAGATACGGTACATGAGCTGCTTAGTATTCCCCTGAGGAATGAAATTATGGAAAATGAAAGATCTGATCATGATTCATGAAGACGACCAAATAAGCAGAATACTTGCAGTTACCAGCATTGATGATGCCACAGTAGTCAACCTTTGACGTCCATATTTTAGCGTAAGCATAAACAGCAGCAGTGGTTTGAAATTCTGAAGAAAAGGCCGATAATCTCTATTTTTCTTTTCAGCAGATCCCCAAAAGAGTAAAACCAACAATTAATTCATCCTACTATTGGGTATTACATGAGTTGGCAAACCCTCCTTGCAATAGAGATGCATGCAGGAGTATGTTCCTTTACTGCAAATAACATGGCACAGATGTTTCTGTTGAGTCAATCACAGATACCACACACTACCCTGATGAAGCCCCCAGGAACAGTGCAAGGCTTTGAAGCTTATTTGACAAAGAGAAATCTATAGTAAATCAGCAGACATTTTTTAAGGTACATCAATTTCCTAGTACAAATGCAAAACAGCCTTTATTTAAATCATTATGTCTTAAAACTTGTAAAATTCACTCATAGTAGGATCCAGAGTTATTCTGAACTGACATAGTAAGCCTGAAAATGACCATTTAGGAGGCGGGATTAAATTAAACACTAGGACATGTGCACTATGGGTCCAACAAAGCGGACTACCTGGGTAATTTTACACCTAAGAAGTCAAACGCTTTTGCTGCATGCACCACTGAGCGACTTCTATAGGAATGAACGCAGCCCTGCCTCCAGCGCTGCATCCAGTTCTCTTTACACATCCACGATCCTAATGCAATAAACACTCTCTAGATCACCAAATGTTTATCAATCCACAGCTGAAAATAGTCTCCAACAAGCGCACAATTTACTCCAGTTTAAAAGTAGCATCTAGCTGTTTTAACAAATTACTTAGACTTTTAAAAAAAACTCTATGTATTTGTCATTTGCTTTAAAAGATTTGTGACGGCACTGGGAGACGTTGGTTTTAGTCTTTTGGGTTTTGTCGACAATAAAAAAAACACGGATCCTTCATCATCAAGCCAAACAGATTAAGTGCATGCAAACTGACACCTGTGCACTAAAGCATCTGATATCACGTAAACACTGTATAGCTTAATAATTCTGCACTAACACTTGTCAATATGCCATAATCATTAAATTAATACCTTAGTGGAACATTCTACTGCCACGGTTTCATCAAGATTAGCAATTATCATTGAAGTTAAAAGTGATATGAATTGAAAAAACTTCAGGCTGTGATCCAGGACTATTACACCTAACAAGTTTCCCCTGGTGATGCTGGCTGGATGGAGTGAGAAACGGAGGACGTAAAAAAACATGATGCATGATACCTGTTAGAGTGTAATGTCATGAGTAGCACTGTGTTGAGACGTGACCGTTTGCTGAGGGTTCAGGGATCGGTCAGGTCCTCTGTGCTGTTACAAAGTGACTGGTAGAGGTCAGAGCTCAGTGAGTATGCTGAGAGGACCTGTTTGAACTCCTCCAGAGGGCAGTAGACTCCACTACAACCTGGTATAAGTAGATCCTACAGAGAGACAAGCAACTTAGAGTAAAACACAACGGGGAAAAATGCAGCAGCTTATCAATAAACATATTCTCACCCCTTACCTCGCCCACGTATGACACTTTAACGAAGGACTTGTTGGTCTGCTGCTGTTGGTGCAGCTCCAGAGTCATGTCAGCGGCATACGGTGGCCATCTCATGTCAAACACCCCCAGAGCCATCAGACAGGGAATCAAAGTAGTGTCGTGTGCAGAGTACAAAAATAGTTTCCTGTTGTAGGGAGGATTTAAACAGAGGAACATATAAAGAACAAACACAATCAAGTTTGTGCAACAAACGGGTGTGTCCGTCCAGAGGTGTCCAACCTGTTTGGCTCTGATGAGGTGCCCTGTACTTTCTCATCTATGTTGGTTAAAAGTGTGTGCAGGAGGCGTCCAACACACAGCTGCAAGTTCTCCCTGGAAAAAAAAAGAGCACGAGAATTAATGGTGGTCTGTTGCACATGAAACAAATGGTCTAAATTCAAAAGCCCCTCCTCTGGCTGACTTAATCTGACCTCTTGCTGGGTTCATACACATGGCAGATCATGTCAACTGCTCTCTGTTCCACTGTATTCCTCCAGGTGTCCAGCACTGATGGGCAGGGCAGGCCATGCGTCTGTTAATGTGCAGAGACTTGACACAGTCAGTATCAGCGATGCTGCAAAGCAACACAAGCCTCAGAAAGGAAACTTCCAACATGACTGAAGGTTTGCTAACGTTTTCCAGAGTTGTCGTGTTATTATGTGATTTTTTTTAACCCAGTTTCCCCTTCATCATAGTCATTTTACAAAGTGGTGTCTACTGTGGGCGACTTACAATAGACAGGGTGTCAATTTTTAGCCGTGAGAAAAAAATTCACCAGAAGCTTTATTTTCTATTTAAAGCTCGGGTTGGCAGTTTAATTTTGGCTTAATGGGGCAAAAATTCCACAATAAACTTGAAGTATATTGTGATTCAGTTGTTCTGGGAATAAAATAGAATTCTGCACCTCCTCTTGGCTCTGTTTTCAAGCTTTGGAAAATGTAGCTCATGATTGGAGAGTTGCAGTTGTGTGTGTACGTCGCTTTGGTAAAAGCCTGATTCAATGCAGGACAGTCCTGCAGAAAAAGTTGCTTTTCCTGCATTTACAACGACTGCCTACACTGCAAAGCAACCCAAAAAAGGAAGACCCACTTCTCAAAAAGAAAAGACAGTCTGACGATAAAGGAAACAAAACACGTCTCAATATTAAGGCGTTTCAGTAATGTACAGAAAATGTTGCTAATAGTTTAGCCTTCTGCTAACCAGAGCTAAAGGCTCACAGCTGCAGCTCATATTCATGTTTTTGTGGGCCTAGCTAATGTCAGCTCGAGCCACAAACCACAGTGTGTACTCCATCTCACTCCCCACCTATCGGGAGGAGAGCAAGGCAGCAGCTCCTGAGATGAACCCCTAGTCAGCAGCCGCAGCGACCGCAATACAGCCACGCAAACGCCAGCTACAGGGGAGCTTACATCCCTGACTCCCTGCTGGATTAGCAAACTTTCTGTGGCTGCCGTTACCCACTGTGACACCTGGTGCTAAGGGGCTGGCAGAATTTAAACTGCTTCAGCCGCTGACCAAAGGTCCGGCTCCTGAGCTGCTGCTAGCTCTACTCCCGCTAAAGCAGACCACAGTTGCAGGGAGTGAGATGGAGGGATGGTGGGGTGGCTAACGTTAGCTTGCAAATTCTTATCCCATTTGTGCTGTGAGAAACAGAAAGGTAGAGAAAGCGGGGCGAGAAGGGGCTGAGCGGAAAACCAGCATGCAACTCTACAGTGAAATAGGAATAAATAAATCAGTGTTACCGTATGAAACGCGTGCATATGCCTGTGGTTGTGGGAGGAGCTTAGGACAGAGAGGAGAGAGAGGCGAGCTGCAGGAGCAGAGTGGGAGGAGGGTGTATTTCCAAATCCTGCCTTTTTTCTTGCCCTTTCCAGATTTCTGCCTACCCCAGCTTTGACTAGTTTATAGATGCACTGACTTAGAAATGTGTTGCTTTAATTGGTCTGTTAGTTTGAATGTCGAATCCGAACATGCTCAGCCAGAATGTTAGGTAAGATTTCAGTATTTGGCTTTGCACAGCATGGGAAAATTCAGGAAAGGCCAAAAAAGACACACCTTCAGTCATGTTTCAGATCTACTGGTGGCCCCAGTGTGCACATTTACAGTACAATATGGTTATTTGAATACCTACAAAACATGGCCCTAAAGTCTGATATGAGAAATGCAGTCTCTGGTCCAGTAATGAATTTCTGTCATTGACTGAATTAGAACTTATTTTAGGATATGGAGCTATGTGTAAATACTGTCAATGTTTAAACTCAAATCATGCTGAATCTGTTATTTTAGCTTGTTAAAAACTTGATGAACCCTGTTGTGGAGTTTCATCTTACATAATGAGCGGCTTGCTGGGTTGCTGCCTCCAGCCAGGCCAAGTCTTCATAATAATCGTATGTATTCTGAAAGCTTGTGGTGAGACCGAATAAAAGTCATATGAATCATGATGCGGCGGTGTCACCTCTCTGGCAACCATGTCGTCCCTAATGAGGATGAAGTCGATGCGCTGGTGAGCAGCGATGCCCAGTGCGTTCTGGATGCTCTGCAGGTCTGCTGCAATGTCTGGCAGAGTGGCCGACTCTGCCCAGCGGTGGCTGCACAGAACACACACAGTGTCAGCCGCGAAACACAGACACACCATGACAAGCTGTCAGAGGCATCTCAACTCTGCTAATAATTTTGCGCCACACATTATTCTGGATTCCTGTTTTTGGGGTAGAGAGTACATGGGATGTTTGAGGCCTGGTATGAAAATACACTCCATGTACCTGCCAAGGGATTTGAGCAGCTTGCATCCATGGTAGTTAGGATACAGGATTTCAGATTCTGCATCCGTTGTTAATATAGGCACGATTTCTTTAAGTAGAAAATTACAGAAACTGATTAGAGGAGCATTCAGAATATAATAAATAACATCATGCTTGTATGGATTTCTACCCTACCTTTTTGTTTTTGCTGGAAGAGCCCTGCTACCAGGCACTTGGCAGATTCAATGGTCCTCACAATGTTAGTGGAGCGAACACTAAAAATGGAAAAACAGGTCATGGAAGGCAGCCAGCTTCAAAATAGTAAAGCATTTAGGGCTGATGTCCTTTGTACTACGCTCGTAAACACAATGTATCAAAGCTGTAGTGCACGGAAAAGTACAATAACAACACCTACTAGACCTCTGTCGGGCTAAAGGTGGAGCTGAGGAAAGGACTCTCCTCAATGTATCTCCTCCTCAGCCTCTTGCCCAGCTCATACAGCTGCTGCATGCCCACTGTGGTCAGCTGACCGGGGTACGTGCCACCCTGCCAAGTGCAACAAACAGGATCAGGTTTTACTCACAGATGTGGCCTAAACAGACACACACACACCTGCCACGGCATGCAGGAAGCCAGACTGAACGTGAGACAAGGATGGCAGGAGTCCACGTTGTGGGATTTAGTTTTCTAAGCTAAATCCAGTGCAGTAAAGCTCTTTAGCAAAGCAGTTAACTCAGCACAGGAAACTATCATTTCCATGGACACAGTGGCTAGCAGAGATGTCTCACTGGGAGGCTCTACACACAGTTCAGCAGCATTACAGAGAGGAGGTGAATGAATGAATGCACTTTAATGTCATCTGTAAGGCTGTGTAATGAATCCTGGTGGCCACTAGAGGGAGAAAGGCTGCTGAATCTACACGATGCTGCAAAACTATGACGGGCAAGAACATCCATATGCAGATCTATAAAAAGTATTAAATCCAGAATCTCTTTTCACAACCTGCTTTACATATAAAACAGCAGGCCTTCATTGCAGCAGGTATTAACCTGTCACCGTGCCAGATTGCACAAGGCCCTGGCACATGCACAACAATATCTAATGACACTTTTCTAGCTGCTACATGTATTCACATCTGCCGTTATCCAGCTATTTGGCCATTATCCTTCCACAAAGCCTCTTACCAAGAACCAACTCCACAAGTTCCTGCACCTGAATTCGTTCTGTCCACACCTTCTTATCTCAATGCATTCAACACCACACAACACACCTACTCACGGTCAGCGTGTTTTTCCGGTAGCTGTCTTCCACAAGAGCCGGGGGCCTGGGGCCACCATCAAGATCTGTCACTTTATAGTTGATGTGGGTGTGTGCTGGAGGCTCCAACAGAGTCGGCACCCACTGGGCCTTTGACAAGACAAACATGTCCAAAGTTGCTATATACAGACATCTTTTTTTGTATAGACACAAGCACTTAATGAGCTGATGAAAAGTTTTACCTCCATCACATCAGGTATTGACTTCAGCGGTGTTCGAGCACCGTGTCGGAACACGACTTGGACCAGTTTCAGTTCGTAGGAAGATCTGGTGTTTGTGTCAGCAGGAGAGGAACCGGAAGCGGGGTGGTCTGGTTTAGTCTTCTTCTGTGACCACAACATCGAACCAAAGACCACTGACGCCGAGCCGAACACACCTGCTTTGGTCCAAACCTTCCTCATGGCTGTGCTGTGAACAAAACAAATTGTTTTAGTGTCTGAATTAACTACTACTACACACATTAGGGTTAATACAAGAGTAAGATCAAGAAGAACTTTATTATGATGACAGTAACATTAACAGAAATAATCATTTTCAGGAACAAACCCTGTGCAGTAGTCTTCTAACACTAACACCCCCTGTGCAGTTTTTTTTAACATGTAAATATCATAACTGTCAAATACAAAGCTAAGCAAACTAGATGTAAAGTCATTACCATCCAACTAAATGTGTAAGGCAACCAGTTACACAAATTATTCCACATTTATCCCAGAACACTTTGCACTCTGCAAAAAAAAAAAAAAAAGTCAAAATGCAATCACAAGTACCCACGGCCCTAAATGACGTCTTCCTACTGCTTCTTTTGTCCAACCAACAGTCCAAAACCCAAAGACCTCCTTATTGACGATCATAAATGACAAAGAAAAGCAGCAAATCTTCACATTTAAAAAGCTACCAGCAAATGAAAAATAACCTAAATAATTAATTGACAATCAAAATAGGCAATTATTTTTTTCCAGTTAACAAATCTATCAATTGACTATCATTACAGCTTTACTCTGCAACACTGCACTGTTATCTTACTGTCTACAAATGTTATAGTTGTTTATATACATAAGTATATACTTCTTGCATACATTAATGTTTGTGTATTATGTTTGTCCTTCTTTTTAGCTCTATGTCTAGGCCTTCATTCGTATGTACATTGAGAGCAACAAAAACTGGAGTCAAATTCCTTGTATGTGTTTGCATACTTGGATAATAAATCAGATTCTGATTTTACTGGTGGCTTTAAGAAAGGCTTTCAGGCTTCCTACTGTTACACAACAGTCTTGCAACAAACCAGCTCAAGTTTGTTTTGTATTCATCTTGGTGTAAAACATGCCAGAAAATAGTAAGTGTGACCCATTACAATTCTGTAAACAGCAGCTGGCATATTCATAATGCTTGTTTGGTCTGAACCACACTCCAAAACTCGAAGATAGTAAGTTTATCATCACAGAAAACTACAAAAACAGCAACATGTTCACATTTTAGAAGAACTTTTAGTTTTGTTGCTTAACAGAATTGACATAAATGATTGGTCGAGTCGATTATTAAGATCACTGATTAATTGACTAACCCACTGGTTCCCAATGTGGGGGTCCCAACCCCTATTTACGGTCATCAACACTTCACCGGGGGTCTCGAGGCCTTCTTGATTTTAAAGGGTGTATGATTTTTCTTTTTTTAAACTATGACGTACGCCAATTTCTCAGTATTATATTCATTTCTGTGAAGAAAACTAAATTAATTTGTTATTTTTAAAGTTTAGGTTATTATTCCAGGGTGTCTACAGATATAACCCAGTTAAATTTACGACTTAAGAAGGAAAAATGACAACAATTGGGTGAGTTTAAGTTTAACATGTTTTATGTAAAAACAAAACAAAATCTCATCGCTGTCATAAATGCTATTTATTATTGCATTTCTTCAGTCTGTCCAATGATTGTTAACAGTCATTGGGTCTGTCAGGCTGGAGAAATTTTCAAAGTTAGGTGACTGAAAATATGTAAGACCCATCCAATCTGATTTTAAGACAATTTAAGACTTTTTAAAAGCCTTGAATTATGAAAATGTAAGACATTTTAATAATTTTTTAGACATTTTAAGGACCTGTAGACACCCTGTATTCAAGATATAAACTTAAAAAAATCTCAGAGTAAAGGCACAGTGATGACCTGGAAAACAAGCTATATTCACAAAACCTCCTCCTCATAAGTAGGTGTTATTATTACAAATATAAAAATGTATAGTACATAATATACATAATATTTCATACAATAGATTTATAATATATAATTGTATAAAAAGTACCTAAAAATAACAGGAAAACTTATCCCTGACAAAAATTCTTCCAAATGGCTCACAGCACACACACTTCTTGCAGTTACTGTATGCACTTTTTGAGTTAACTGTACAGTTTATCAGTGGTTCTGTTCTTTTATTGTTCTACAATAAATATAATATAATAGATCCATAAAACACGTAACTTAGTCAGGGGTCCTCAGCTCAATCAGTGATAGGGGTCCCTTTAGAAATGAGGCAGGGAACCACTGGACTAACCATTTCAGCTAGGATGAGCTGCAACAAACTATTTTTACATTATTAATTAATTTGCAGATTTTTTAAATTGGTATATGAAGTGTTAACAATGTGGGAAATGCTCATTACAATTTCTCAAATTCAGTTTACATAATAAAAAGCAGATAAAAATACTCAGGTTAATGGTTTTAGCTCCACTTACCTGAGTTACCTGATAAAATGTAACTTCCTGTTAAGTCCAATGATGTCAAGGATGAAGATGATGTTGCAGTAGAGCTAACGTTACTACTAGTCAAATGTTTCCCCACGAGTGACGAAACTATGCCACAAAACTCCCCAGTATTGTGAGATTAGGTCTATTGATACAGCTGATATCCTAAGCTAACTGTTAGCAGATAAACATTGCTTCACTCGTTTCAACACAGACTCGTTGCTACCCGAAGCACGTTAAGAAAACACCGCTTGGCACCAGGCTAACGTTAACTCTTTCAAAGCTAGCAAGTTGCAACACAACACGATAACATGGAGTTTGACCTCCGTCTCAACGGTCAGTCAAGCTAACCGCTAACTAGCTAATGTTACTTACTTTATGTAATGATGTAATGAAGTTCTTCTGCTTGTCTCGGTGGAAGAAACAGCGTTTAATAAATGATAAATTCAACTCTCAGTCGGCAACTTGACACCAGTTCCTGCCAGAGAACATGTCGGGAACTGTAGGGCAGCAGATACCACTCGGCAATGAAAGTAAAGGTGATAGCTACATACTTAAAACTACATTTCCCTACAATACATCATTCCACGACCTTCTTCTTCTTCATTAAAAATAGTTATGGGGCAAAAGATGCATCAGCGTGTATTGCTACCCCCTACCGGACAAAGGTGTATCTGCATGCCACAATGATAAAGTAAATCTCAAACAAATACTGTGGTTTTTGTGACATTAAAAAAGTCAAAATATAACATCTGCTTTAATGACTCTGCGCACAAGTGTTTTTTTTAATAAATTGGAAGCCAAGAATATTCCCATCACCAGAAAATACACGATTTGCTGTCATTTTAATTTACTAAATATTCTATTTTTATCAAATTATTTATCATAGAATTTATAAATAACATTGAATCTGTCACAGCTATAATAAAAGATGTGTACACGAAATCGAAGAGGCATTTGGCTAGAAATGTATTTTTATCGCCACTAATCAGATTTTTAAGAAGTTACTTTGAAAAATGTTACTTTTTCCATATTTTCCCCTCTTTTTAAGATTTATTTTATTTTATTTTATTTTATAATAAAAAACTTAGAAAACCTAACCTGGCAAAAATGTTTTTTTTGTTTCAACTGTTCTAAAGTTATAAAGACAAGAGAGAAAACAACATCTCAAACTTTGCCTTTTGGACTTTATTTATTATTTTGAAATTTATCCTACCTTTGTTTTACATTTGTACTTTTATGATATAGGGGCATCATAGGCAAAAATTATATATAATATTCACAACTATGTTTTCATTAGTTTATAATGACCTGAAAATAACAACTGTTTTCGTCATCTTACAGTGAGCCATCTATATCTACATATAGAGTCTGCCCGGTTGTTTCTACAGTAGCCCAGAACAGACAAATCAAATATTGGCCTAAATAGGGCCATTTGCTTTTTTGCATTTTCTCTCATTTTCTCCTAAACGCTTGGCACATGGGGAAGTTTAGGCTCTGCAACCTCACTGCTAGATACCACTAAATCCTATACACAACTTTAATAAAGACCCTTTCTAAATTCCTTAATTTCTTATTTTAAATCTTTGAAATTAAGTTAAAGAAAAGTTTTGGTAGGTTTTTTTGTTTGTTTATTTGTTTGTTTTGTTTTTTAGTTGTTGGTTGTTGTTTTTTTGCAGATTATTCTTTTCTTAAGTGTTTGTTGTTGTAGTAATAATTTTGGCCACAAGAGGCTGAAGTGCAACACTACCCCATGTTCTACATAGGACTAAAAGCATTTTAGTTAATATTAATTTCTCCATTCCCTCTAAACACAAGGTATATTGTGTGTTAGCAAGTTATACAATATTACAGTCATGTCTTTCTTTTGGTTTAGAATATTTTTTAATTGTTGCTAATCGGATTTTCTTTAAATGAAAAACCTGTTCCCTCCTGTATCAAGATTATTGTTTAAGGAACATAGAAAATTTACCCTGGCACACATTTTTCCATCCTTTGATTAAGTCATAAACACAGGAGAAAAAAAATAGATCAAACTTAGAAAATAAGTCACCTGAAACAAACTTACCTCTCAGGGTTTCCATAATGATGTATTTTGCACTTCATATATTATTTTGAATTTATTCTGTCTTTTATTTTTGTTTATTATACACTTAAAACAGTAACAAAATAGCTGCTACGGGTCAATGTATCAGGAATGATAGGGAGATTTTGCTGCATATACTCAGCTGAAATTATTTACTTTTAACTTTTTAAGTAATCTGAAAGCTTCTTTCACCACTGAATAATTCCCACCTCTCATCCTGAATGCAGATTCTTCTAATTTGTAAGCCATGTGGTGTCCGTCGATTAAATCAAATCTCATACAGGTTTATGCATTTTCTTTTTCCAAAACAAAAAGCTAAGAGACTGGAAACTGAAATCTGAGAAGCATTTTCCATCTTGAATGTTCATCTTGGCTACATTTTTAAATCAATAAGGAGAGCAGACAGCAAGTATCCCTCCAAGTGCATAAAAACATCTCAGCTTTGCTCCTGGGTGATTTACAGAGAAAAGATTTTACTGAGCAGTTATGTGGAGTCATCACACTGCTCCTAAATATATGCCATACATTATGCCGTAGCATAATCTTATACAGTGATGATGAAATGAGGGTAACTTTGCAAAGGGGTGAATCTGATTTGCAACAAACAAAATGGCAGCATCTAACACACTTTCCCACTCAGCTTGTGACAGACCAAGTTGGATATTAGCGCTGAGCTTCCTGGCAGAGATGGCGAGACAGTCTTTGTTTGTGTAAATACTGCATATCCTCTCCAGTCTGTCTCCTGCAGGTCCTCTCTGGTGAGAACAGACTGGGAGATGCAAGTGGTAGGATACTGATCTAAAAATGCAGGAAACCCTTCATCTATTTGTGCCCTTCTTTATCTCATCTTCCTCATTTCCACTTATGCTTTAGTTTACAGCACTTCACAGTTTTGATCTGTTGGTCTAAATGTAAACTCTCTAAACACATTTCTAAGTGTTGATGTTACAGAATGATCCAATGAGTGCTAGAATCAATCACACACCTTGAGGACAATAGAGCATATTGTACGGATGATGGTTTATTATTTGTGATGGGATAGTGATGACATTTATTGCATAAAGGTTAGTGTGAAAAAACCAAAAACATAGACAAGATTTCTGTGTTTTAAATTCGCTGTAGGAGAAAGTCTATAGGATGAAACCCCCAGTCGCAGAGGATGTTCATTTACGAACTGCTGTATTATACAACCTGTACAATTATCCTGCATATAGTAAGAACAAGACACCAATAAAATCAAATATAATACATTCAAAGACATCAACGGAAACATACATTGCATAGGGACAAATTCACAATTTGTTGCACAAGGCTCCAGGAGAGAAACTGAAAAACTTAAATGCAATGCTGCCACCCAGTGGCCGGATCTCCTCATAACAGCATCCAAGCAGGACCTCTTTTCTCTTTTTCCTTGAATCCCTTCCAAAGGGAAAAATCCTAAAACAAGCTACATTCTCTCAATGTGTACACAAAGGCTCCTGTCAGATATATAACTAATGAATACAGTTTTACTCACACGTTTTATCTAGATGTGGTTGTAAAGTGATTATTCTTGAGTTACATTTTATGTTTGTTGACTTGCAGGTGTAGTGCAATCAGGTTTGCAGGTCAACAGATGGCTTTATATACGTTTACAGTCTCTGACATGGCTTTTGGAAAAAATATACATAGAAAACATATTAAATGGAAAGAGATATATCTTCCACAGTTGTTAAGGCACTTTACCGAAATTCACTGTAAATGCACTGCATGAAAACTTCCAATTTATAAACCGGCAAGCTTCACAGTTTTTTGCATATTAAAGGTCCAGTGTGTAGGATTATGGGGGATTAATTGGCAGACTTGAGATATAGTATAATGATTATGTTTTCTTTAGTGTATAATCACCTGAAAATAAGAATCATTGTGTTTTCGTTACCTTATAATGAGCCATTTATATCTAGATACAGAGCCGGTCCTTTTCCATGAAGTCGGCCATGTTGTTTCTACAGTAGCACAGAATGGACAAACCAAACACTGGCTCTAGATAGGGCCATTTGCATTTTCATGTCAGCCACTGTAGTTAGCAGCCTCTCTGCAACGAGCTTAACAGCATCGGAAAACAGATTTTATAATGTGCTTTATTCAGTGTATTTATCGTTTTAAATTGCCGGGTCTGTTTGTTGGAGAGGAAGAGAGCACTACGGATAATTTGGCTCCTGGTATAAACCTCCCTTAACATTAACACTGGAGGAATTCTAAAGGCCTTTGCACACTGAGTCATAAATTAAAAATTCATATTAATTTTTAGACGTGCAACAATTTCAGACAAAAAAACAGACTCAGGGCCAAATTCACAAAGAATGAACTGCGGCCGCTGATAGCACCTTGAATTGCACTTCACTTGTACCCGCAGTTTGCTCCGTCTTAATGTCCTATTCACAAAGGATATTGCGCTAATGATATACCAGCACAAACACGCCCACAAAGTTTGGCAGCTGAGTGCAGTTTGCCCCTGATTTGCCCCTGATTGCAATAAGCCACACATGGCAAAGTATAAATGCTGGCTTTGCGCCAAGAACACCGTGGCAGAACAATGGCAGACTTTGTTTGGCAAAGTACTGAATACTGTATACCCTCATGTAGTGATGTCTGCTGGTGAGTCAGTCTAACAGTGTCGGATGGGTTGAGGCTATGGATTTGACCAAGTTTGACCACTTTATCACTATTCCCTCTCACTTGTAGCTGTTTTTTCGTTATCTTTTGAATTTAATATGAATTATGGAACATTTTTTGTTCACGTTTGTTTCCCCCGTTTCATAAAATAAATGATTGAAAGTTGCTTTTGAAGTGCGTGACAGAAGTGCGTTTTGAGAACGACTGCAGACTGTCACCTGTTCAACGCATCAATATCTTCTGATGCCATTAAAGTAATAATGATTATAATAATAATGTCAAAATATTATTTACAGACTGATTTAACAGACGATCACTGCTGCCACGATCACTGGAAAGTCTGGGCGAGAGGCTTCCACAGAGGAGCGCCCAGTTTTCACCAGCTTTCTAAAGATGTTATTTACTTCACTCAAACTGCGTGTGGCTATTAGCGCTGGTGTTAGTGAATTAGACGTTATTTATCAATGAGGCTCATTTGCATTGAAAGGGGCAATTTTTGCGCCAAATATATGCATATTACCTCATTTAAATACGTTTAAATAACACCTGATCACCTAGACTCAATCTGCTTGGCAGCGCAGTTAGTGGAGCATTTCACCCTCTGCGCGTGCTTTGTGAATTAGACGGTATCTGTTTGCTCCATTTTTACCGGTTTAGCGGCCGCAAAAGCCACGCAATCCTTTTGTGAATTTGGCCCTCAGTGTGCAAAATTTTTATCTGACTGCAATCTGCAGTTTTCACCACTAGATGCCACTAAATCCTACTCACTGTACCTTTAAGTTCTTGGTTTCTCTAGATGCATCTCTATTTTTTTTGCAGCAGGAAAGAGAAAACAGTTGGTTCTGCTATAGTCACAACCTGATCATATGATTAATCCAATTAATTGAATAGTTAGACGTGTTTCATATTTTGGTTTCTAATGAAATGTTTTTTCTCTGAATCATCTCAAATAAAGCATCATGTCATTCTCACTTAATAATCTCTTCATCTCTCTTAGTTTTTGGCTTTAACGGTTCAACTCTAACATAAAATGTGCAATAGCCAGGTGTCACACCTGTTACCCTGTTCTCATTTCAAAATTATTTTTCTTTTGCAGTTTGGTTTTTTGAGCTCGGCGGACAGATTGGTTCACAAACACTATCTGCTCACAGAGCTCATGCATGTCAAGCTTACGTGGTCCACTCACACATCTCAGTGTCTCATTTAGTTCATCCTCTGTAGTTATGTGTCAAGCTTCAGTGCCAGAGTTTGCATAATTATCTTGGCTCACATTCTGACCGCTTCAACTTCTTCCTAAACTGATCTTTCTGTTCCTACTGTTGGTCCTGAAGGTTCAGTTCCTCCTCGTCTCCCCTCGCCAGCTACTCTTTCTGGTTGTGAGTCTATACTGCCAGGTCATCCTGGCGAGCCCGGCTGCTGCTCCCGCTGGTCTTGCTCAGGCGGCGTTTGTCCTTCATGTAGCCGGAGTGCAGCAGAGGTGACGGGGAGCAGCTGTTGGGCAGCTCTGTGGGCGCTTGGTCGTATCTCATCCTCAAGAAGTCTTCCTCGTCCTCTAGGTTGTCGCAGCTGTGATGCCGCTCGGTGGCCAAGTTGACAGAGTTCTGCTGCAGCGCCATCCTGTTGTTGAAGGGATGAGAGGCCATAGAGGTCATGGGGTTCATGGAGCTCGGGGCTGCCAGGCACTGGCTGAAGTCAGGGGGTGGGGTGCAGGAGGCCGAGGGCCGAGGTGGGCTGTTTGGCTCCAAGTCTGTGGACACGGCCACAGTCACAGCTCTGTGTTTGCTCTTCTGCATCATCTTTTGGCGACACTTCCTGGCGCTCTTCCAACCAAGGTGGTAGAGCTCCAACACAGACAGCAGCAGAGACACACCGGCCACCACCAGCATGAAGATGATGAAGACGTTCTTTTCTGTGGGTCGGGACATGTAGCAGTTGACAGGGTTGGGGCAGGGCCAGGCCTTGCACAGGTACAAGGCCCTGAGGAACACCCCATAGATCATGTACTGCACCACAATAAATGTCACCTCCATCACTGTGCGGATCAGGATGCTCAGGATATAAGTCTGCAGCAGCGCTCCTTTTAGGCGAACACGGCCAGTCCCATCAGACGTCATTGTTTTTCCACTCTCCTTCTGCTGGAGGTACTCCTTCTCCTCCTCCAGGTCTCCTCCGCCTTCCCCTCTCTCCTCCCTCTCCTCCTGCTCCTTCTTGCGCAGCTTCTCCTCCCTGCGCACAATGTGCATGGCATGGCCCATGTAGATGAGGGATGGCGTGGAGACAAAAACGATCTGCAGCACCCAGTAGCGGATGTGGGCGATGGGGAAGGCGCTATCATAACAAACGTTGGTGCAACCGGGTTGCTGAGTGTCGCACAGGAAGTCGCTCTGCTCGTCGCCCCACGAGGACTCGGCTGCTGTGCCCAGCACCAGGATGCGGAAGATGAAGAGGACAGTGAGCCAGACCTTCCCGACTGAGGTGGAGTGTTCCTGGACCTCCTCTAGGAAATTTCCCAGGAGACTCCAGTCCCCCATCACTGCTCACAGGACAAACACACACCTGAGATACAAAGACTGGAGAGGGAGGAGAGGAAGGGCGGATGGAGGGTGCACTAGAGGTGGAAAGATGAAGTTACTGAGGGGGAGAACAGACGGAGCACAGAGGGGGTAAAGGAAAAAAGAGAAATACAGACAGATCAGTCATATACAGTTGCAGTTCCTCTGACATGGAAGAAATAAGGTTTCTATAATATATTTATATAATATATTTTTATGTAAGTTGAGTAATTGGGGTGTAAGAAACATCACAAAGATTTTTTTTTTTTTTCTCAGAAATGTATTTTTGTTTTCTAATGTCCCTTCTGGAGGACATCAGGTCAGTCTTCTCCACAAAAAGGTACAATACATTACATGAATAAATTCTCATCTAAGAAATGTAATGTATGTAATGTAATGTAAAAGGTAAAGAGTGCTGCAGGGATGAGTCCTAAAACCTAGATATGAGTTAGCATTTTAGCGCTCCTGGTTCCCGTGTCTTGACATCAATGGGTTTTTTGAATGGGTTTTTGGTTAGATGCCTTAACTAAGGTCTTTCATGCTTTGTTTTTTTTTTGTTTATTTGTTTGTTTGTTTTTGTTTACATAAAATAGGTCAGTAAAAAGCCCACCCATAAATTCTGAAGCCATAACGTGGCAACACCATTGCTATTACGTGGCTAAACAGGACTCCAGAATGTCTCCATGCTGAACATCGATTTACAGCCTCGATTTGGTGGTGACGTTGGAGTCATGCCACTGTGATGCTGTTTGTTTATAGTCTAATGTTAGCTTTTCACTTCTGGCGATTGCATTTAGGCTTCTTTTTTTTTTTTTTTTTTTTTAAAAAGTGTGTTTATTTGTTAAGATTATCTTGCTGAACAGAAAGTGAAAGTATCACAAGCTTTTGTTTGCCAAGGAGCTTATGTACCCTGGGTTTTAACAGATTTGGGGAAAACTGCGTTCTCCTACTCTGCACCTTGGACATGGAACAATCTTCAAAAAGATTTAAAATTGGAAACACTGCAACCATTGATGAATTTTAAGGGCATTATAAAGAAAATGTGGTGATAGAGACATGTGAGCATTTTTCTTGAGAGGCCACTATGGTTTAATAGTTGTTGTTTTATTGTGGATTTTTGTATTATATGTTGCATTTTAAATGTGTTCTGATTGGCTGCTGCTCGGCCAGGTCTGCCTTGTAAAAGAGATTTTCAATCCCAATGGGATTTCCTGGTTAAATGAAATGAATTAAATTAAATTAAATTAAAATAAAATAAAATAAAAATGAATGAAAAATAAAATAAGATTAAATTAAATTAAATTAAATTAAATTAAATTAAATCAGATCAAATCAAATTAGATCAAATCAAATTAAATTATTCTTTGCAATAACCCAAAATCCCCCCCAAAAAAATCCCATTGGCTTTTCAATGTTAACTTCTGTGTTGGCCTCCAAATAAACGACATCCCTGTAACACACTGTTGTACATGCTTTTCACTGGTTTTACTTAGTGTGTGTGTGCATATGTGTGCATGTTGGTGTGTGTTATCAAGGCAAGTAATCTACATGTCTGACCCTTCCTTGGTAATATTTACAAAATCTTTTCCGCCTCCTTCAGTGCTCTCCTGTAATGGTTGAAATGAGAAAAGCAACTGTCCCCAACAAATGACATGTGTTAAAATGTGTATTTTGAAAGGCTTAACATTAAAATTCACTTTGAAAAACTTATTGTAATATAGTTAAAACTCTCATAAATAAAAATCAACATCATTATGAGGAACAAAAACAGTATATCTTCATCACTTATCTCCGTTACTGCCATTACCTCCATGTGTGCTACATCACTAGAAGGCCCAGGAAGTCTGTTTCACAGCACACCAGGGCTCAAACTGCCTGCGTGTATTGTGTTTGAAATAAAGGCCTCAGTGGCATGTTCCCCACAGCGCACAAATATGAATTGCTGGGTCTCAGGAGGATTTTCCTACAGATGAAATGACCTGGGCATGTGTGTGGCATCGTGTGTGTAAAAATAGCTTGTGAATTGCTTGAGGACTGGACACCATGGCATGAGAACAACCATTTTCCCATGAGAGGGTGAGTTAGAGGGAGAGGAAGTTTGGGAGTCATGTAAAAGTAAATAAAGAGGGTTGTTTAAAGAAAAATGATTCAATAATACGCTATGTGTGTGTTTGCATTCCTCATGTCCAGCTCCAAATTACGTATGACAGACAGTCAGAGAGGGTAACAGGCCACCACTGGGTAAGTCAAAGCTGGGAGACTTTGTCCTTTTAATGCTGTGACCTGCACGGACACTATCTTGCCTCTGGATCATGACCAGCAGACCTCACTCACAACGACAGCACAGCATGTCCCCTGTCCTCTCTGTGGTAATGAAAACCTCCCACAGGCTGCAATCTGGATCTATCTGTGAGCGTCAATCAGATCTCCCCATCTATCCTTCTGTGTGTGTGTGTGTGTGTGTGTGTGTGTGTGTGTGTGTGTGGTTTCACCTGCAGCATTAGTGAGAGTTGGGTGAGACCCAAACATGGCAGCGACAAGCTGGCGAGTCTCCGCCGAGAATGACCCTATAAGGCAGTTCACCAGACAGCTTTATGAGCGCAATAACTGACCTCCATCATTGAAGGGTTAAGAAAACCCATCAAGCTCTATCGAGGGGCGACCTCCGACATCTAAATGCACTTTGTCCCTTTGCCTGCTGGCAGCTTTTACTATGCAATTAGACATCAGAGACAAACGATTTATAACATACTGTAAGGAAGGAGGGCTGAAAGTAACAGTTTGACAGGTTTTTCCAACACGTCACACGTCTAAAGTTACTGCCCTACTTGGCAAGCGTATAGAAAACATGGTACACATTCCTCAAAAGCTGTGTGTTAAGACAAACTGTTATTTTAATGGTGAGCCAGGTAGGATATACAGAATAATCACTACAATCACAGAGTGTTAAAAAAGCCAAACAGCGAGATAATATTCTCTCTTACCACCTCTCATCTCCTTCCAAGTGTAATCCATGAGCAGTTGCTTCCATAATAAGTTACTCCCATTGTGTAGTCCACTGTGGAAGGCTGTGACTTGACTGGCTGACACTGACACTAGTTATGTGTGAGAGAGAGATGGTCTAAATGACCCTCAGTCTGTCTCTCTCCCTCCCTCAGTGACTCTATGAAGTATATATATGGCAATAAGATGGAAAATCAGAGAGTTGTGCTCTTTATCTGTGAAGCATGAAGAGGCGGGAAGCAAAACACCCCTATGAGAACATGTGGGAGAGGAAACGCTCGACCTCTGTCCACACACAAGGCTCATACTCCGATGCATAGTGCAGGAAAGTTTGGTGTGACACTTGCTTTCCAGCATGCACCATCTAATTCCCGCTAACGTCAGACTGGTCACAGTTGGAGACCAGTTGGATCATGAGTAAGTGAAGCGGGTCCTCGTCCCACTCAGGGAACTGGCTCTAAGCCCTCCTTGGATAAGGCTGATGATCTTTACTGGAAGTAAATCACAAACAGGCAGAGAGCTGGAGGAGGAAGGGAGTGAGAGTCCAACCAGCACAATAGCAGGAGGTACACGTTACTGAACGGCCGTGTTCTTATCAGCGAACACTGACAACAGGCTTTCCTCACCTGTGCAGACCCCACTAACAATACATCTCCCCCTGGACTAATTCAGAGTCAACCTTTGTGACAGTGTCATTATTTGAATAATGACACGCCTCTAAATGTTTCCATCAAGTACATAATATGGTCATTAAATCAATGTGATGACAAAACTACTTTTGTAAAACAATGTCTTTATTTTTAATCTTTTCCTTGACTCGTTAAATATGAAAACTTAAAAAGGAGTGAGGGTGTGCCAACCGGTCACCGGTGTGGAACGATGATATCCAGATCCTTTAGCAGCAATATCACCATGTAAAAATATTCTGCTACATTCAAAATGTTCATAATTCAAGTAAACGTACTCAGGCCTGCTCACAGAAATGGTGCATTTTTTCCCCCCACTGTCATGTACACTCATACCATTTTCAGCAGAGGGGATTTTCATGATGAAACATGCTACATTTTACAAAAGCAACAGTGAGTACAATGTTTATTTTTGTTGTTTTTATTAGTAATGGTGAAAAAAATTGTTATTATGCTTATATTTAGGACAAAAATGTTTATTGCTGGCCTCCATGCTCCTTCCCCCCCAGAAATCTTTTCAGTTTTTACTCCCTTACAATGTGTCAAAGGTAAAACAGTCAATGATGCACTAACAGTATGCTATGCAGGATTTTCCTAAAAAACAAACAAACAAATTTTCCTAAAAAACAAACAAACAAAAAAAAACAACAACAATATATAGATTTAAACATAAACCCTCTCAATTATCACTTATGACCCACTAGAACTGCGTGGCAGTGTATTTTGCTTTTTTCTCCTTATTTTGCTGTGTTCGGGTTGTTGTCGGGTACAGTGCACAGGTGAAAGGTAGCGACCAGGTGTCAGACCGTAAGCAGCAGGCATCCAAGAGCTCCAAGCTACAAAAAACCACAGACACAAACACAAACATAGCAAGGCAAAGTGCCAAGGCTGTGGTTGACTTTCACTTTTGCTGGCAATCCTGCTTACAGTCGCCTGCATAGTGGTCTTTACCTTTAACATGTCATCAGCATTTTAATGTTGTAGCTGGTCAGCTTCACACAGCTTTTGTTAGCTTGATCTATAAACAAGACAAAGAGTTTACAGTGTGCAGGTGGCTCTGTGTAGCATTCAACTCAAAGCACTGCTGTGTCTATTGAAAGTGCTAACATGCTAATGTCAGATTGACACAATGCTTATTACATTTACAGTCCAGTGTACAAGCATGATAACATTTGCTAAATACTGTAATACTGTATACTGTCTTAATATAAAGAATATTATTTGGGGCAGCAGTAACTTAGTCCATAGGGGCTTGGGAACGGGAGGGTTGCTGGTTCAAGTCCCTGTACGGACCAAGAATGGAGCGTGAAGTGGTAGCTGAAGGCACTGCCGACGCGCCCCTGAGCAAGGCACCAAACCCCCAACTGCCCAAGGCACCCGCCTGAGGTAGCCCCCCTGCCCTGACATCCCCCCATTTAATGCATGTACAGGTCCTGTTTGTGTGTATTTTGAGGTTGTGTGTATATACTATAGAGTGAAAAGATTCAATTTCCCCTTGGAAATCAATAAAGTACTTCCTCTTCTTATATAATAATAAAGTATTAGGGGATAAAATTGGCTAGGTGACAAGTTAAGGAATCACCAAAGTTATTACAATTCATCCTGAGGGGAGCATGAATGCCCCTTTAAGCTAATTTGTGATTTGTGATATTGAGCTATATAAATAAAACTGACTTAACTTGAATGTCTACATCAAATTTCATGGCCTGTTGTTGAAACAACTGTCTCAAAACCCTTTGCAAAGCTAGATGAAAGTTCAGTCGATCACTCACATGAGTAGGATTCATCCTCTGGGCACCATGAATGTCTACACAAGATTTAAAGAACCTCCATCCAACACTCCTTGCGATATTTTAGTCCAAGCCAAAGTGGATGGACCAAACCATGCTGCTATCAAGGCTAAAAATCTGATTTTAGAAGATGATGCTTTGTATGTGAGGTTGAAAAAATGTACTACATTTATCACTCACATGTGTAGGATTAAAAGTACAAAGTGATATAAAGTAGAAATTCTCAAAGTAAAGCAGTACACACACAAGTATCCATTCACAGTTGTGGGAATGGGAGCTTTAGACAAAAGACAAAGTGGACTCCAGATCAGCTGGGGACAGGCAACGGTCTCAGTCTCTTTCTCCTTCCCTCGACTGCTTTCCTGTTCTCAGAGGAAGCAATCTCAAACAATATGATTTCCGAAGGACAAAAGGAACAAGGTATTAAAGGCAGTGGGAGGCAGATAGGTTACAGCCCACATATTCCAATGAACCTCTGTGACTGTGAAAGCACCTTTTGCTGTTGGCTGTCTATCATACCTATGCTCCTGTTGGCTCTCTGGCAATAACCATGGATTTACTAGGATACATTGTGCCCTTTGCTGAGCGGTCTGGTTTGCCTGTAGACCATCATGGCTGTCATATTTGTTTATAATCTCTGTGGCAGAGTAATGGACAATCTGGTTAGAAGGTATTCAGAACGGTGAACTGCGCAAGTGGGGTATTATGCACCTCTGAGTTATTTCTCTTTGACGTTATATCTGAGTCTGTCTGTGAGTGTGTTTGAGTGTGTTTGTGTGTGTGTCCTGCACAGAGGAGGAGTGTTGGGGAGAGTTCCATGGAAACAAAGTATTAAGTGTTAGAGAGATATTATGATAAACTAAGCAGGAAAGTAGAGTCCGTATGAATTGCAGCCAAGAGCTACAGTCATTTCACCACTTCAGTGTCAACTCAAACTTAAAGGGATTCTTCACCTACAAAATGATCACTTGGGGAGCAATTCTCAACCTGCGTTACATTGAATATGTGAAGAAAACTTTGCCTTTCTGGGATGCCTCCACAGTAAACAAAGAATCTAAACCAAATCTAAAGGGGGCCACGTTTAACGGCACCAAATATGGGTCAAACTGATTCAAACTTACAAACCCTTGCTTAAGTCATACAGTATAATCGAAGTCCCATTTATCCTGTTGTATGCTCAGTACTTCCCAAACACATGTATTTTTTGCTAAAGTCTTACTATTTAAACACTTAAGCCCAGTTCTGACCAAAGATTCGCGACAAGACGAAACCGTTTTAGAACGTTGCAGAGAAAAGTTGCAGTGGTGTGAACTGGCCGTCTGAGCTCGACTCAAGCCGGCTGATGGTGTCACCTACAACTCCGCTGGTCAAATCACTGACGGCTGGTTTTGGAACGTAAGGCACATCACCTATTAGCCAATGGTAGTGAAGTTTCAGGATCAATTCAAAATGGCCATGGTTGGCATGTTTGCTTGCTGCGATAGCTGCTCCGTCCCCTCCGAGCCCTCTGTATCTGATGCCAGTTTTGTTTATGGTTTTCGCCGTTTTGTCACTCCTACAAATGCAGCTGCAGCCAGTATCTCACTATCACTATCCTCATTCATATTTCAAGAAGCTACAAATTATATTCAGCCCAAAATAAGCCTGAAAAGCTGAAAATCAGAACAGAAGTACAGAAAGTTATGATACACCATCTCATCTAGTTGCATCGGCATGAACCGGCAGGTTTTTAGAACTTTGCAGAACGGTGCATTGCAAGTAGGTGCATGTTTCAACTTGTCTCGTTGTGAATCTTTGGTCTGAACTCTTTGGTCAGAACTCGGCTTTCCGCCTTACAGCTCATTCATTGGCCAGGAAGTGACAAGCGCGTGTGAGCGACAGCAAAACCTCTGGCCAATGAACAACCAAGAGATTTAAACTGTAAAGTTTTACCAAAAATGAATGTATTTGGAAGGTACTGGATTCTTACATTCACCACGGAGGCATGCAAGGAAAACAATCACGAATTCAAGGTAACACAGGGCGAGTAGTTGATACACAAATTATCATTTTGGGGTGAAGTATTCCTTTAAAACGCACTAACTGAACGTGGTTGTATTTAGCTTTCCAGAGCAAGAACTGAAACTGAGTCAGACTGGATAGCAGCCAGGCAGCTCAGAGACGTGAAGAGAGAAATAGCAGCTACTAAACTGCATCACTGTGAAGTGACAGCTGCTGCTGCGACTCGCTGCCGAGCAACAGGAATAAATGCTGTGTGTTTTCTCTCCCCTGCAACACAATTAATCCTCCAGTGTGTTGGGCCTGCCTCAGTGTTGCCTTAGAGGGCAGTGACTCTGGTTCAAGAATCAGTTGGGACTGTGGCAGCGCCTTGAGCTGGAGAAAACCCCTGGATGAAGTTTTATAGGATCATTAAGTTGTGTTTTTATTGCTGGCGTATGGAGTAACGGTGTCAGATTTATGTATCTCGCAGAATCATTGAGTATAGTTTTAACTGAGTCATAAGAGTGCAGAGATACATCAATGTAG